CTGATTTTAAACATGAAAATGGTAAAAGTAGATCTTATCCTGCAACCTGCAATGCCCACTATTCTCTTGGAATTGCTTATGCCTTAGCTATCTTCTTCCCAAAGCACTGACTGCAGCCTTCCTCTTATCTGGGCAGTCTGCTCCCGTGAGTTATCATTCACATTTCCTTGTTTCCCAACTAATCAAGCTTGGCAGCAAACAGCTATTTCAGACAAACATTGCCAAGACTGCTACAATTCCTTTTCAATTGGTGTCAAAGGAGCCGCTGTTTGCTGCCATGCAGGAGCATAATTAACAATGCAGCCCGAAGCAAGCAAAATATCCCTCTAAACTGTGTCCTGTCTTCCTTGCTCTTATCTCAACTAGGCCGTAATCTTTTCAGAATGAAATTGTCTTTATTTTGCACGATAGTAGGTACATTGTTGAACCTTAATGATTAACGGATTCTGTTAAAGATACACCCCAGCCCAGGGCACACAGGACTGCAAAGGCTGAATTTTGTCTAACCAGGCCTGCCTGAAACTGTCATCATCTCATGCTCTTTGTTACATGCAAATTATTTATATATATATATATATAAATATATGCAGAATACGAACTGAGCACACTGACACACTAGCACACATACAAGAACATATAGGAGCTGAAAGTCTTCTTCAACCAAGCATTACAAAATTCCTATGTCTTATGTCTTTAGGAAGTCTTAGTAAATACACTGCTTTTAGCTAAAAGGATTTTTTTTTTCCTTAGATCCATAATCTGACTTGTACTAAGGAATACTACAAAGCAGCACCATCTAGTGGCACTAAAACCAGAAAGGTATTTTTCAGTTTTTCTCAAACAAACAAAATAGAAAAATACCCACAAAAACCTGGAGGAAAATTGTACTTTAGAGACCACAAGGGAAATTCTCAGATGAAATTCTTTTAAAAGTTCTACATGACATTTACATTTATTATTTTTTAAGTCAAAATGAAAATGCGTAAGCCTTGGGAAACAATCATACACCTGCAATCTCTGGGTATACATACTACTATATATATTTAGAGACTACCCTCTGGAAAAAAAAAAAGATACAAGGATGTATTGATGTGTTAACCATGGTGGGTAGAAAATCTATTCCTTCCTTCCTCCTTCCTTCTCTCCTTCCTCCCTCTCTTCCCTCCTTCCTTCCTTCCCTCCTTCCTTCCTTCTTTCCTGCTTTTAATAGCCTCTTTCTTTTTGCAGGAATAAGAAGGGTCCTGTTGGACCACTGCATCCAACTGTATCCAAAAACAGCTGAATGTCTTTCCACACTGCTTGTCTTGGCTTATCTGTTCTGTGTAGCTGTGCAGTGCTAGGACTGTAATTTGGTAGCATTTTATATCATCTTAGCACCTACTTTTCACAGGACTCAGAAAATCTTCTATTGCTTCTTCAGGCAGTGGAAACCCCTGCAACCCATCAGCCTCCCTGGGAACTCTCCAGTGCAAAGCCAAGTTGCTCTGGATCCCTGGGAATGAAGGGTTTGTTGAATCCATTAGGAGTGCTGGGTACGTTTGGAAGTACCTAGAACATGACCCTTTCATGGTTCTGCCTGGCATGGTACCACAGCCCAACTCTCTCCATCCTGCCCAGCTCTCCTAGTTCCCATCCTCAGCCCTCGAGGTGTTTGCACAGCCCCCCGCCCGCCCTGGCGCTGCCCGCTCTCCTGCTCACGGCCGCCCGGCACGCGCTGTCCTCGGAGCCAGCGGCACGGCGGCACTGACCGAGCTCCGCACGTTCTTCGCCGCTGGCAAACAGGTTTTCTGGAGTTGTGACTAGTCCCACTGGCCTCATAGGCCTCCTGGCCTTCGTACCTACAACAGAGTAAGGAAAAACAAGAGAATAGACTGACTGAATACAGCAATTTCAGTTTCGAATGTATGAATTATCATTTTAAAAAAAAAACCACTAAGCATAATTCTGTGTTCCTAAAAATTCATTTGCAATGCTTTTTCTTCCTCATTTTCTAATTAAGCCTGTATTTGCCTTTTTACATTCCACACTATACACTGAGCAAGGTATTAAAAACACCAGGTAGTCTACCAGTTTCTGAATTTGCTGAATTTGCTACCAGTACCTTTTCAAATTCTGTAACTGTTGGTACACGCTTCAGCCTCAATTAGGTTATGATTTTTGAAACACCTACACTTAAGCAGTAATACTAGTAATACTTGCTTATATTGATTTCCAGAAAAATCCTAATAGTCCCCTTACCTGTTCGAATTGCGCTCCGTGTTCCTTGAATACACAACCAAACTGTGCTTCAGAGGCACTCTTGCCCATTTTTCTCCCATTCTCTACCAGATATTCTGTATACGATACATTCTGGGTTTAAAACTGTATTTTTCATTATTGCTGTACACTTGCAGTTTAGAGATGTCTAGGGTTATCTAGGACTTCCTCCTCCAACATTTTCAACTGATGAGCTCCTTAGATAAATTATTTTTATTCCCTACATATATGTCTTCCGCTGTAACTCCGTTCCATCTCTACTACTCATATTCTGGATGTGTTGTTTCTATAGTTTATACCTTCAATTTTTGTATCATTAATGTTCTTTTATATACTAAGCAATTATCATTAATCAAAATATACATTAAAACTGGTTGCAGGGTATTTCTTGAGTAACTTTGCTAGCAATTCTCTTCCAGAATGACTATCTTCCTTTAATATAGCACATTATTATCTCTTCTTCAGGAAGGTCTTACATTATTATACTAACCCCCACCTTTTGTAGCTGAACTAGAAATTTCTTACGTAATACTGAATCTGAATACTGAATTAAAGAAAAAAGTAATTATAAATAGCAATAAAATAAAAACCAGGACTTGTAAATTCTGTATAAATACTTTATTATGTATAAAAGAAAAATTACATGTACAGATGCTCTATTTAAAAAATCACAGATTTTCTGTTTCCATGAAAAGATTTAAATGCTTTAAACAGCATTTTTATAATGCCTCTTCCTTCTTGTAGGGTGATGTATTACCTTGGAATTGGCACAAAGTAAACAGAGGTACTGAACATACCAATAGCTGGCGTTTATAATGACAGGACAAGGCAAAAGGAGGGTCCCAGGAAGAATCCAAATTTGGATTCAGGTCTTGGGCCTTTGATCCCCAGGTCCACATAAACTGACAGAGTTGCAGAGTCAAACACTCAGTCCACAGATTTTTAAACAGACCTTTGCAAAATATCCTTCAGGATGTCAGCTAGCTTTTGCGAATAAAACTCTGTTCAGTTTACTTAAGATAGGACCATTAGAAATAGCAATGGAAAGAAAATAAAAAGAAATGAGAACAATATAAGAAGGAAAGCTCACTCAAGGAAAAAACATCCACAGACGACCCTCAGTTCTCATAGTACATATATATGCTCAATACAAGATTAAAGTTTTAAAGTCAATATGTAAACATTTAATCTTCTTACAGATCAGATCCATTTATTTAGTGTTATTATTTTACATAGGAGATCCATAGGAAGAATGGAACTTCTTTTTCTCTTGTCAAGACCTTCAAAAGGCACTACAAAGAGTAACCAAAATATTATGTGTCTGTAAAACTCAGCTCTGCAGAATTTCCTGTTCACCATTAAAACTGAAGTGTATTATTTAATTCATAACCTACCTTTCACTTTTCCCAGCTAGATGAGCAAAGCAGATTAATGTGATTTTAAAAACTGAGCTGCACAACTTTTTTCTAACTGTGCATGTGTCTGAAAGTTTATGATTATCAGTATGTAAACTATCTCACAAACATCAATCAAATCTTGGCAGTTATACAGTTAAATATATATCATTACACAGTTAATTTCATATTAGGATATACAGACTTGACCTCTTTACTCAAGGAATAACATGATCCCACGGTGGAAGGTTTTTCTCAAGAATGAGAAGGTAAAGTTACCACTCAGTGAAATTAAGTTATTAAAGTCTCGTGCAGCAGAGACTTACCTGTTAGTGTTTCCAGGAAAAAAAAAAAAGAAAAACCTATCAAGTTTACATTCTGTGTTAGCCACAAGGTGTAGAAATCTCCAAAACACTTAGTAGTCACATTTTCATCCTACAGAAGGCAGTTATGCACCTATCTATGGTTAAAGATATTACAATGGGAAGTTTCCAGTTCTTACTGTTAAAAAACTGTAAAGATAACTTTAGTATTGTTGTAGCAGTTGTATTTTAATAAAATTAAATGACAAATTATAACAGCTACTTCAATTTTATTGTTTATCTTGATGTTTGGTTTTGGCATGGCATTAGAATAATGGAAGTGGCTTGCACTATTCCACTCAGCTTATGCTTTGGTCGTGTGGACACTGCGTGGGTTCCTAATTCTGCCATGGGAGGTTTACATTTTCATGTTTAAGTTTTAGTTTAAAAAAATCTAATTATATAGAAAGATTTTATGGGGTTATGCTTGGGTATTTTTTAATTGACATGAATTTTGGGTCTATACAAACACATATAATTTGTATTTTTTGTATACTTACATTTCATACTACTATTTTTAACATGTAGCATAAATGCCCTTACAGATAAGGGAAGCATGATCTTGTAATTTCACTGTTAGATAGAAACTCAAAAAAAAAGAAAAACACAGTATAGAGAACAAGAAACACAAAAACACCAACTCATACATGCAGCTAATTTGCATATATTATATAATAATTCTATGTGTTCTCAAATAAATTCACATGAGCAATTGACTTTTAGGACTAAGCCCTGTAACAAAACCACTGGATGACACAAAACTGTCTGAATTTCACTTGCTCTTTTCAGTGCACGTACTATTACTACGTTCTGAGGAAAGGAAGATTCCCAGTGCAAAAGGGATATAATTCTGCTTCAGATGTAATTCCCAATGTGTAAATATCTTTTATGAGACAGGTTATTTCTAACTAAAATAGAAACGTAAGACTTGATCATTTTGCCATATAACTACAAAACTGAGAACAAATATGATCAAACATCCATGAGATGTGCCTGTGTCCGTGATAATTAGATAATATTTCCAAAACATTCGAGTCTCACTTTCTGTCAGAAAATCTCACATTGATGGAGTTTCCAGGAGTCAAAAGTCCGTGAGTTTTGGCATAAACTGGTTCAGTTTTGGGAGAAACTCTGATTTCAAAATTCTGTAATAACTGAAAAGGCAAATACGACAAATATTAGAAAAGTTGCACAGTTACAGAGGAACAGTAGACATTTGCTAAAAAAACATAATGCCCTCAGTTTGAAACAATTTCTGTTGTGATTCCCACATAAAAAATAGTTACTGCAACAATCTTCCTTTGATTAAAGGGGATTTTCTAAAACAAGAAAAATAAAAATAAAAAACACAGCTGGTTGTTTCTGAAGAAATTCACTTTCAGACCTCATGAGCTTTTTCTCTCTGTTTCCCTACTTAATTTTCTTTATAATTAATCAATGTGTGTTTTAATAAAACAAAGCAGTAAAAAAGTCCAAATTCCAAAAAGTTCCATGCACATTTCTCTTCCTGGGCAGCAGAAAATAAAACAAACATGAAACAGCAACTGTCCCATGCACTAGTAAAACAATCGCAATAGTTTTAGAAGTCAAACAAAAGAACCTATCGAGAACAAAACCAGGGTAGTTCAGTCACACAAGTTCTCTATACATTAAACTTCTATTTCTGTACATTTACACTGTAGTGAACTGGAGAGGACCAGTTGCAAACATAAATCAGAAATTACAGGCTAAACCAAAACCTCAGAGATTTAGCACACCCCTTTGTTTTGACACTCAACACAGCCAGCTCTTCTCAAACTTTCAAGAAGGAAATACCAGCACCTCCTCAGCCCTAATAGTTCTCTCTTTAGAATAGAAAGCTTTTCTTAGTATCTAGTCTCAAAACTTTTTCTTCCTAAAATTAGACCATCTTCTCTTAGCCTGTCCTAGTGAGCATGGTGAAAAATTCACTTTCTATATCTACATATCTTTCACATATTAGAAGATTGATCAAATTTTCATCTCATTCCCTTTACCACATCTCTAACTCTTGTTATCTCCTCCTGAATTTCCTCCAGTTCGACTGTACTGCCCTTTTACACCATTGCTGGCTTCACCAGTATTGGGTAAAACAAAAAAATTACCTTCTCTTTTTGACATATGACCTGCCTGTTAACACTGAGAACTTGCTAAGAATGACAGAGCCTTTTTACATTTAGCCTTATATTGTTGTCTGATTTTTACTATATCCTCTATTTCTAGAGTGTTATTGCCTAGCTAATTATATATTTGACTTATTCTTAAGAGAAATAATTTGCACATGATATCAGACAGGTGTGACAAAACTTTGAATTGATCAACTCCATGATTCATAGATTTCAATGTTTACATCACTTAAATAAAATCTAGGTTTTTAATAAATGGATTGTGTAGAAGTTTGCTTATTCCTTAAGTATTCTAGGACAAATTTAAACAAACTGTGCTTTCAATGCAGACAATGTATCTAAATAGTCTTACAGTTAAGTAATTATTGTAAGTTTCCACATCTTGAGATTTGATGGCACAATCTGATCTGAATGTTTGAGCTTAGCTTGTAAGTGATGCAACTGTAATAGCTGAACCCTTAAGCAAGCAGACAACCAAGCTAATGTATGTTTAGGAAGACTTGTCACTTGGTTACAAATCATCTGTACTAAATCTCCATACAGCTTTTTAACAATCTTCTTCTTCGTTTTACTTCACTCATACTGTATTTTTGTTCTGCAGTACAGTTAAACTAAAATGCTACATTTCAAGCATGAATGTTTTCATTTTTAAGCCTCTCCCAGGATAAACGTGCTACATAACACTCCAAAAAAGGAAAAAAAAAAGAAAAAAGAGAGATTTTGTGCACAATATGATATCCAGAAATGGTATGCAGAGAAAAGAATCATACCAATATATTTTTCTTCTTGTAATGCTGTCACAGATTTCTAACCTGAATCAGTGCAAGATGAATTTCCAGCTCTGCAATTCTTTTTCCTATACAACTTCGAATGCCATAGCCAAATGGGATTGAACCAAAATTGTCTACTCTGTCCAAAGTATCTTTCCTCAGCCAGCGCTCAGGACGGAACTCATCTGCCAGTGGGAAATTCTCTTCACTGTATGAAGTAGTATAATGACAGAGTGCCAGCTGTGTCTGAGGAAATAAATGACATTTATATTTAGTTAAATCCAATACAGGTTAAAAAAATAATAGTTATTTGTAATTACTGTGCTGTGAGGTTATACAACAGAATATAAAATTTAAGTATCTTTCACAAATGCAAGAAGAAAAGAGGATACCTGAAAAAACAGATCCCTTTCTCAGCAGGTCAACTGAAATATTCTTCCAATGTTGTTGGATATATTAGAGAAGATGCAATGGGAAAGATGGTAGAAATGAAAGTCAAAAGAATTGAGAGAGAGGAGAGAGATATAAAACAAAGGAAGAGTGACAAAACGAAGTATGAGAGATAAAAAAAAATCTCAGGAAAAAAGCAGCACTAATAGATACGGTCACACCTCCAAACAGATATACAAATACACTAAGAATTTCAGAATCCTGTCTTAAAGCTACATTATTTTAAGACTAAGGTAAAAGGGAACCTGACAATTTAGATGGAGCTGAACAGCTCTGTCCTGATGTGTCAACTTTGAATAGTATAAAGGAAAGATCTATAATTTTAAAAGGAAATTAAACTCTTTCTATAAAGGATTTGAACAGTCAAGAATTAGAAAACTGACAAAAATAACAAAATTCATGCTTTTTTAATCAAATAGTAACATTTCACAGAAATATTATCAACTGAGTTCTGCATCAAGAATATTAAGAACAAGACAAGACAATAGATTTTATTAAAGGGTGAGAAATACTGCTTCTGTTGAGGAGGAAGGTCTTGCATTTTTGTCAAGATAACAAAGTAAAAGATTAATTATAAAATTCCTTTTCTTTGCCATATAAACATGTATTACTGTAATGCTTTATTCTTAATGCTCTAGCTTGGTGACATCTTTTGAAATCAATGAAGTGTATGTATGTTGTAACAGATCACATCTCACATAGAAAAGAAATTTCGATTTTGTTTAGTTGCAGTCTTCTAGAGAGAACCTACCCCTTTAGGTATCAAGTATCCTCCAACAATCAGGTCTTTTTGAGTCACTCTTCCATTTCCTGGCAATACTGGATATAATCTAGAGACAAATATTTATGAGAAGTTGAACAGTACCAACTAACACAACTTGTAAGTTTAGGTTACACTCTAATACACATTCACAGCAAAAAGGTTTTTAGGAAGTACAGATCATCTTGGATATCAAAACACTACAAAGCACCTGTGAGAATATGATTAAATCTGAGGGAAAACATAACAAAACAAACAGGGCAGGGGAAGGGATGTAGGCATGCGGAGTGCTATAGGTTTATATTTCTTGGAGAACACTCGGCTCTATTATCTGGACTACCAAGACTGCAATACAGGCAGTCTAAGTGAAAGATGATTGTTTTTTGGGGAGTTAGCAGGGAATAAATCCAGAGAAGTTGTTCAGTTCTGTGGAACCAAGGATTAGGGTGAAGATGGGGAGAAGTTCCAACAGAAAAGTACTTCCTGGAATTACAGCACAAATTCTGAGAAACCTCAGGATAACTTCGGAGGAAATGAATTTGGAATTGAAAGATATCTTTGCCCTCAAATGGAACTTTTTCAAAAGCAACCTGCCTCCCAAGAAAATGCAGATTCTTACACAAGAAACGACACAACTACAGTTCTTGCTGTTCTGTTTCCTGTGCTCAGAGCAGCTTAGAACAGTAAGTTAGAAAGGAATATGAATAACAACAAGAAGTTTTATGACTTTACTACATCTTCTAGAAGAGTAGTGAAGTTCTGTTCTACTGGAAAAAAAAAATATGAGTTATCTCAGAAACTAGAGTATAACAGTGAAGTCCTGTTCTACTGGAAAAAAAAATGAGTTATCTCAGAAACTAGAGTATAACATAGAAATAGCAGGGTAATAAACCCTGGTGATCCACATGTACTTCAAGGGTTCATGTGAGAAAAGCACTTTTGGAGCACTAGTGCATTATGGCTGAAATTCTTGCCAGGGAGAGAGGAACACAGTTGGGGTTGGTTGGTTTGTTTGTTTCCAATTATGCTCAGCAATTGCTTTGGCAGTCAAGGAGCTCAGCACAAGGTGGAGAAAGAGTTCTCAATCACCTGCTAGAAGAGAGACAGAAATGCTGAAGCTCCATGTGATGCGGCCAAACTATGCTCTCTTCTAACAAATAACATCACTGATAGCAGTCAAGGCTTGAGTAGATTAGACTCAAAAACTTTTTCCTGAGAAACTTGACCTGGACAACTCAGCTTGACCTGGACAACTTGACCTTGTCTAGTAACTTCAGGAACAAAAGAAAGCCAACTTCTCAGAAAACACTGAGGTAGATGTAAAGAAAATTATTCTGTAGAGATAAGATGGAAGGAGACTGATTATTTGAAACACAGGTAGCTGCTGAAAAAGTGATGGCATGGGAGCAAGGTTTCACATTTTCCTCATTGTAGTTGTAAGCGGTGTCCAGAACAGCCCCACAGCAAATAAAACAGCCTGGAGTCAATGTTACACAGCTAATGCACTGCAGGTGGTCTGGTCCTGTAGGACCATGATAGCCCAACTCCCCTGGGCATACTAATACCTATTACTAGACACACCACACGCAAGCAAAGCAGGGAGAGAAATTTGAAGAGAAAAATCTGAGACTACTTTATCAAAACTGCTTGGGTTTACAGCTTGGATGACTGTACACATACACAAACCACTTGAAAAAGATCCAATTCAGCTTCTGACAAGAACCTCTTGCATGGTCTTAAACAGATTAACTAATCTGTGTCTGACTCAGTCTCTTTATCTGTGGAAAAACAGTAAGAACAGGAGCCTGCTGCCGACCACCATACACGACACCCCTGCCTGAGTCAAATCACAGCTGCCTAGAGCAGCACCACTAGCACAGGCACTATGGCCAGTGCCTTCTCAAAGGGACAGTCTGTGACCACCAGCCAAGCCATGCCTAGATCCCGCAGGATGGGCACATCGCACGAGCTCGCTGGTCATTCCTGGTTCCCACCACATTCTCCTTCCTGGAACAGGTCCCTCTCTTGCTGTCACCCTGTCAGTCCAGATGCACCAGCAAGGCGCTGAGGGGTTTACAGTCCATCACACAGACTAATGCTTAAAAGGCAAAAATACTTTTCCAGTTACCTATCTTAGCAGGCTCATCATAAATATGTGATATTATTTCTACCATACTTTAAAAACCAATAAACATCATATAAAATATCATATTCAGTTGCTTGAGACTTGTTGGACACATTACTGCTACAATAAATAAAAGCAGAAGCAACAAGGAACAATAATTAAAAATAAATGTTAGCTTTGACTCAAAAGTCATTACAATCATATGGAGTTAAATATTTTAACTAATGATTTGCAGTTGTCTTCTACTTACCTCAGGGTTTCTTTGAGCACAGCTCTAATCAAAGGCATCTTGGGGACATCATCAGCAACAGGAATTTGGTTCCTCCCCAGCTTATTGACTATTTCCTCATAAACACGTTGTTGAACCTCGGGATGTTTTGCCAACAAATATGTTGCCCAGGATAAAGTAAAAGAAGTCTAGGGAAGAAACCACTACCATCACCATCAAGTCCAGTAAGAATAGATTAAAAATAATTTCATGCCAAGAAAAACAATCAGTTTTCAGTTATTTGTTTCACATGTGTGCTGTTATAAAATAGACTGGCAATGATTAACATCTGGACTCAACGGTATGTTGTAAGATTTCACTATCCCCTACTTCAGCCCTTTTCCACCTAAAAATCTCCTACATACAAAAATAATCAATGTTGGTATGCTCCCAGGGAAATATCAAAAAGCAACAAAAAAGACAAATGCAAACAAAATTGCGAAAGTAATATTGAAACATAAACACTATAAACAGCAATTGATTAAATTAACTATTAGTCTTCAGCACATTCTTTGTATTTCCTCCCAACAGAAACATTTTACAGGAAACAAATAGCAGAATGATACCCCCGACATCAACGACCCATTTTAAGAATATGGCAGTCTCTTCGTAATATCTGCACAACAATAAATTTTATATTAATACTGCTAAAATTGTATTTCATCCTTTGATAAATGATACTACATCACAGTAGGCACCTTTTATCTCTTTAAACTCCCACTTGAGTATTTACCATTCACTCCATCAAAACCCCTTGTGTTTATACAACCTGGACTTCAGGGACTGTTCCTTCCAAATACTAGATTCGGGACTTTTTGCTTCTACCTATCAGGTGCATTCAGAAGTGAAGGTCAAGCAAAGTGCCTTATTTGAGCCAGCTTCCCTCACAATCATCACTTAAAAGACTATAATAAATATTTTCAGTATTCCTGGGTAGGTGTGGCAGGGAAAATGACACTGTAAGCATATTGTTCCTTACCTATATTGTTTTAAATACTTTAAATTAATTAATTAATTAAAATTTAAATTAGAAGTTATCGTTTCTCTCTGTTAAATAAACAAATGTTGTAAATGGTATTTTTTAAAAACCCCTATAATGAAGATAGATTACCAGTCTCAATTTAAATTAGAGGTCATCGTTTCTCTCTGTTAAATGTTGTAAATTGTATTTTTTAAAAACCTCTATAATGAAGATAGATTACCAGTCTCATTTTTAGGCACTAAATAATTTTATTTTCAGCTTCTGGAAATAATATTATTTGGGACTTACATTTAAGACTAAATTGGAAACTAAATTTGACATGACAATGACCTTTTATGTCATGACACTAGAATTATTCTCAGAAGGCTTCCTTTCTTCTTCTCATAATGCTGAGTGGCTGTCCCTTGCTAAAATGCAACCCCGCTCTGTTCCTCAGAGGAGGTGGCAATTGTGCCAAGTGCCTACAGAACTTCTGTGATATAAACACTGATTCTTCTCAGCTTCCCAGCTCCTTCAAAACCTCTTAAAAATTAGCAGTGTTCCAGCAAGAGCCGAAATGCTTTGTAACCCAAAACAGCCTTACAATTTTGTTGAAAGCTTTTATGACCCTGAAAATCTCCTTCAGTTTCTGTGATGAAATGAGATCTGAAATGACAGCAGTAGGGAAAAAAAGGCTCTCTCCATTTCTGTCTTGTACTTGGGACTGAGGAAATCAGAAGTACAGACCTCTCACAGAAGGTTGCCAGCTGAGGATGCTGAGTCAAATGGAAAAACAGGCACCCATTGGCATGAACTCAATCACTGTCCTTTTAGTTTAATGAAAACACTCTCACACATTAAAAATGGAAAATTAAGGGTCTGAAAGACTAAAAATGAATGGGATGGATGATTGTGCTTTAATTAGGACCAAAACATCAAAAAACTCTACAGACTCATAAGCCTTTGGCATATTTACCAATTTAATTTAACCTTGAGCATATAAATAAGTGTATGTTCCTTATTCTGGAAATCAAAAACTACTGCATCTCTTAGTTAAAAAAAAAATCTAAATTCAAGTATTAGGAGAGCAATTTTACTATTTTTACTCTAAGGCTACTTTACATTTTGTTTATCTCTTTTTCTTTTCTTTTTTTTTTTTTTTACTCTAGAGCTATTAAACACAACCTTACATTGCACTGACTTTACCTAAGTTATCTAGCTTTTTTAAAAAATAATATTCAATCACAGTCATTTACAATAATACTATGTTTTACAAGGACAACAGTTCACAAGAAAAATGACAATAATTAGCTTACTGTGTCCACTCCTGCCAGGAGCATTTCCGTCATATTGGCATAGATCTCTTCCAAAGTAAGTTCTTTACTCAGTAGGAGATATGTGAGCAATCCACCATTCACTTCTTTTCCTTGGTCCAGTTGAGACTGAATAGCCTTTAATTTGTTGTCAACATGGATTTGACCTTTGGGATTTAAAAACAATTGCTTAAGCCTCCATTTTTATTTCTCTGGTGGTTCCATTCATTCATGACACTACACAGACATAAAGAAAAAGGCTATTTAAAACAATTTTATCAAGGAAAAAAGAAAAGTAAAAGAGAGGTGGTGGAGGTCCTTGGGTATTCATGATAAGGAAGGACTGAACTGATGAGATCCTTGGGACACTCACAGCGTGAAAGAGCTGAGGACTGAGAGAGGACAGTAGATGCTGGAGTTTCTGACAAGGAGTGAAGGAAGCTCAGGGTCAAATTTTATGTTAAGTTGGCTGGGTTTTTTTTCTGATGATTCTGCTGAAAGGGGTGAACTCTGCAGAACGCGTGGCAAATCAACCTGCAGCAACTGCTGCAAGATGGTGGCAGCAACTGGCAGGTGGACAGCACAAAAGGTAATCACACTGATCGCAAAGATGAGGAGCATCAAGTAATAACAAAAACTGAAAAACTGCAGCAAATGATACTTCTTTTGAATCACTTCACCCACAAGTCCCTTTTTTTTTCTTTAATTACTACAAACAGCATCATCAGTGAAACAAGTGCTTTAAAGATGAGAACTTTAAAAAACAACTAGAATCAACATATCAATTAACAAGTCCACAAGGACATAGTCACCATATGTAGTGATGGCCTAGTTAAAACATAGATTAAATATATTTAATTTCCTTTTTCACAAAGAAATAGTAGGTAAAAAAAAAAGTTTCAAATGGGAGAAATTCCTGTTTTTCAGCAGTTGTTCAAATAAATCCGAGGTCTATTGCTGTTTTAACCTACAAAAGGGAGCAATAACACTGTATCATGGGAAATAAATTAAAAGCAGCAATGTAAAAAGAATGCATAGTGTCTCAAAGAAACCACTTGACCACCACCATTAAATAGCTTCCCTAATGTCAAATGTTGGCACAGTTCAGTAGACTGAGGCAGATTAAAATTGTGAAACTAAAGACTCTAGTCAAGGATGATAAAAGAAAATAAATGAAGAGATGCATGCAGCTTCCTAACATCACAGAGGGAGAGTTTAGATTTATTTTATACACTCTGCAATCTTAAATAAAAATACGACAAACAACACTCCTCCTCTTATAATACCCTAGAATGTTTTGTTTATATATATTAAAAAATGTAGCATAACAGTGTATTTCTTCATCAACTTCTATTCTTGTGCGTGTGTGTACATATATATATACATATATATATAAAACACCTGCTATTAAGAGCTCTAAATTTAATGCTAGAGCCCATTTTTTAACTTCCTAGTCAGTTGCAGAAGAGAAGTTTCTATCAAGTGCCGACTGAAAACTCACGAAGGCCAACACAGCCACTCTCATTAAAATCTAAGTGGCTGAAAAGAAAGCCCTGGCACAGAACCTGAACTTACAGGGATAACTAGGCAGTGAAGGACAAATAATGAAATAGCAGCATAAAACAGGGGAATATTTAAACTGTGCGGGAGAAAAAAAAAAAAGTTTTTTAAAAAATCATTCCCTTGCTCAATATAATTTTAATGTGAAAAAGTTACTATTTTGCTCTTTGCTATTGCAGATCCAATGAAAAAACTTAAGATTTTTTCGGTATATAGCTCATCAAATTTCTCCAGATTTCTTACGCTAAATAATTAATATTTCACATATTATTTTATCCCACTATTGTGATACCTCTTTTGCCACAATGGCTTATTATCATTCCAGAAGAGAAGAACGGAGTCCTGTTCAAACACAAATACAGAATCTGCAGAAACACAGCTGAACTTTTCTACTACGAAATCTTACTAAATTTGAAGAGTCCATCCCAGGATCTGCAGAACTCTCTCCAGGGCTTTGGAATAAGTGGACGAAGCCATTTGGGAATGGCACCAGCATACATAGTAGTCTTAAACATACTAAACATCAGCTCCAGAGCCTCAATATATTCAATAGTCTGCTGCGGAACGTTGTTTTCCAGGCAGCCCAACCGGCATTCATAAAGAATAGTCGCCACACCTGCACAGAGAGATCAAAGAATTCTCTATAAACATATAAATATATATATATATCAGCCTCTGAAATAATTAAAATAATAAAGAAGTGCCTTTCAAAACTGTTCAGTTGTTATAATTACAGCCGCAATATATAACATATATACTGGAACAGCAGTAATTGGATAGTAATTGGACAGTGAGTACGCATCACGCTTTAGCCACACAGCACATGAGAGTCCATGTGGCCCTCAAAAAGAACATGCCCGTGACACTCCTGCAAGTGCCATTATTGACTTCTCTCTTCTTTGTGACTTATGATTTCCCAGATGATTTTCTGCAGTATTGTAGTGTTCCCCACCTTGAATCCCTTTCTTTTCCAAAGAATGGTATCTCATATATGTTTTTACTAAATTTTTTCTTCCTGGCCCTGGGTCATTTCTTTAAATTATCAAGTTGATTCAGAACTGAAATCCTGTCCTTTAGTGTGCCTGAAGTCTTTCAGTTCAGTTTTGTAAAAGTACTGTAATTATTAATGAAAACACTTGCAGACTTGGAGCACAAACTGACCTGTTGAATTTAGTCGAAGTGCCCTCTCAGTATGACAGCAAAACATTTTTAATTGCTTTCTTATTCTAGACACCTTTGCTCCCAACTTTTAGTTGTATAATCTAGACCAGAGCTCCCATTTTTAAATGAAAATACCATTTTGTACAGTATAAAAGCATTACTATAATCAAAGTAATTTTATTTAGAGATTCTTTTTATCGGGTGGGGCAACTGAGCAAACTGAACAGACAATTAGATAATTTCTCCAGGACCTCTGCATCAAATTGCATGTTTTAAAATAAACTTTGTGTTTCTAAGTTAACTGGTTTGTCTGTATAAATAGTCTGTTCACATCTTTTCAGGGACTGTAGTTAGTCTAACTAGTCTATTAACTCTCTAGCCTCTTTTTTTCTCCTTTTTTCTTTCTGCATTTCTGCTATTAAAAACAGGTGCAATAGATAATGATGTTCAAACCTGATCTAAAATAGTCTTCTCTCAAACTTTCCATAAATTCTCTGGAAAGTTTACTTTTTAGATTTTTTTTATTTTGTTCTTTCCTTCATGTTTCTTCTTTACTTACATTGGATTGCCAAGTAATCAACAGTAGAAGTTAACTGAAAGTGGATTTCACACATGAAATAGGTGTGTGCCAGGCATAAGTTATACATGTGAAAAGAATGTGAAGAATTTAAACAAACCCATCAGTTAATCAGAATCTGCAAGCTCAGAGTTTGAAATTCCTTAAAACTGGCACCTCTTTGCTGAGTGCCACTTTCAGACATTATTCACGCAGCACAGACTCAGAGTACCAGACAGACAGATATTTGATAGGTCAGCAGTCCTGAAGCATTTGCAATTCTCAAATTATTCAGCTGTCTCTCATCAAAGAGTGTCAATGTTTTTAGAAGGCACCCACACACAACAAGAGCAGGCTCTATGAAGTCAGCTAAAGGAATGCATGAAATATGAATCACCATTAAATTTCTATAAGGATACAGGAAATGCCATACTAGCTCAGGCTGGGGTTCCATCTAGCACAATATTATGTCACTAATGGTAGCGAGAGCCAGATGAGTTAAAGGGAAGCACAGCAATCCTATACTAAGTCCATATGTCCCAGGCACTGGGAGCCAGTAAGTTTTCCCACATTGAAACTATGAACAGAATTTAGACAGACCATACTGACAGCCTGACCTGCAACTGGGATAGCAGACTGCTTTGTTACCACGTCTGCTAAGTTAGACTCCGAGGCTAACACCCTTATTCTTTGGAAACTAATACAGAAACATGGAGTACTGAAACCAGTTAGGGACCAGATTTTATATTCTGTATATGCATCAGCATTTCCACATGAATCTTCCCTTACTAAAAGGCACCCCCTCCTTGGACTCTATGAAGGATTTCTACTGATATCGTAGGCAAGAAGATCCCTGAATGCAGAATCATTCAAATTAATCACAAGGCAGTAGTTATGACAAACATGCCTAACCATAAGCACACAGCTTTACATCCACTTGCTATACAGCAATTATACAGTCTGTGCTCACCTTCCATTGAATATTTGAAGAAAAGGTTGTTAACATTGGTCACTGTTTCCCTGTCGTCTTCTTGACTTCTGAGGGTGTGGATTCTTTTAATTAAATCTGTAATAACTTCATTGACTCCTCCAGAGAAAACAGCCACATCTTTGGGTTTCAGAATTTTTTGCCTCAGTACACTTCTCATTTTTAGCCATTGCTCTCCCTCCCTAGAAGAAATTATTAATAATGTCTATTCACAATTCTCCTTGGCAGTCACTAGGTGGGCAGGAGCTCCACAGTGAAAGCTGTTGGCACTTTCACGAGCAGAAGAAACATCAGGTGGTGAAATAAGAATAATAGGGGAATTATAACATGTATTTGGTTTTACATTCCTATGTTTTTATCGCACATTTTATTAATTTCACAATGTCACAAATGTGCATATATAAATTAATTTCTGATCTGAGTAATGACAGAACTTGTCCACTCAATATTCTGAATTTGACAAGTGTCTCTATATAAGTATTCTAGTAGCACTGACACAGGAAATTTGGATTTGCAATTTTTTAATTATAATTGATTTAAATATTTGAATGGATTTTCTACAAACTTGTTTTTAGCTAGAATTATTAGCATTATTAGCTAGAATTAGCTAGAATTGGTGCATAATTGCCAAAGGCACGTAACTCATCCAAATTGACAAACTAACGATTTGAGCTAGTACTGCAAATTCAGCTCATAATGTATCACTTTAAGGCATGTTAGTCCTACATCTACAAAATAATATACTTTTTGTGACAAATGGCATGTACTTCAACTCCTGAGAGGCTTAGTCAGTTTTCAATTCAGATGACAATATACTCAAAATTGCATTGCATAAACAACGTGGAAGTGAAAAGTTGTGGAATTGAAAAGACAGATTTCAACTGTGTTCACAATATGCACATTTTGCACATATGCAACGAGCTTGTCAAAGTGTACTTCACATTTGGGCACAAAAACAAACAAATTTGGTATGTATAGAGAACTTGCTTACAACTAGGTCCTCCTTTTGCTGAACTAGGTATTAAAACCTTAGTGTCAAAGGGTAGCCTTGCACATTTCACATAAGCGGAGCGCTGCACAAGTCACATCTGGGACAGTGTTGACAGCAGCATTTGATACATTTAGTTGAAATTGCTATGTAAGCAATTAATTTTCAATGAAATTCAGCTGAAATAGTGATGCTGAAAGGTGTAGAAACTTACTGGCAAACAGCAGAATTCAATTCTTTTAAAAGGACATTTTTTCTGAGTATCTGTTGATTTAAGATTTTGTTTCACAAAAATATCCAAGAACTGTTAGTCTGGACTGCAGCTTAAGAGCCCAGCCTGAGGTCTAACGCATAAAGGCTTTTGCCACTGTGAAAGAAAGACACCGGCCATGACTCAGACAGTCAGTTTCAAACAGTTTCCCTCTAAAAAGCCTCTTATGTCAGTGGTGACTTGAGTAGTTGGGCAATTAATCACACCCTCGTGTGCAGAGAGTTTATGTAAGCTTTAGCAGACAGAGAGCACTTGTAGACCGGCCACATACATAGATATACCTGCAGGGGATGCACTCCAGTGGGCTTTGCCACACCGTGGCTTCTCTGCATTGCTCCACAACAGAGCAAATTTCAGCTAGAGCTGGTGAATCCACACAGGGCGCTGCCAAGCAGAAGGATGGGCGCGGATCGGAGGCGGTCAAACCCCGTCTGCGCGGTGCCGCGCCAGAGCTGCTCAGTCCTGCTCACCCCAAATGACTGAGGCAGCTCGGGCAGCTCCACCTCACAGGCACATTTGCCAGAAATGGTTTTTATCTGAGGTAGATTCTGCCACATTCAGACTACGCATCAGGAGGGTCCCTTTTAAAATTTGTATCACCATAAATTCAGAATTTCTGCTCTCCCTGCTGAACATACAGATTTCCCCAAACAAGTCTGGACTCTCGAATGATGTGTCCTTCAGAAAACCAGTATACTTTTATAATGAAAGTTAGAAAATGAGTAACAACTCACGCAGAAATAAGCCCTGTAGCTCTTCCTCGTAAGTCCCTGTATTCCTGCCACGACTCCATGTTAGCTCTTTGCGGTGCTCTACCTTCCGCCCGGAGAACTTGAGCAACCATATCTCGATCTGCAATGGACACAACAAACTGGGGACCAAAGTGAGACTTGAAGATCTTCCCATATTCCTGCGTGTGCTTTTGCTACAGTATCACCAACAAACAGAAAAAGAGGCAAAATATTATTAAAGAAGTTTTACAGGACACTGGCAATTTGTTGTACAGTAAATCAGCACATTGCATCTAGAACCTGATTCCCACCTCTCCGGTCAAGGAACGGTTTGAAGTGTCTCTGGAAACCACCTAAGCATTACCCTGAAATATTCACCGCAAAGACAGAGAGGTCCCATTTAGTCTATCAGTTTCTTCTTTACAAACAAACAAGAACTTACAGTCTTAAACTTAACCCAGGACTACCACAGCATAACAGTCTAGTCATAAACCCTACGTTTTGGAGTGGATGCATCAGGATAGAATTTTAGAAAGACATGGATTAAGTCTGGGGAAAAAAAAAAGGAAAAACTGAAGTTTTACCGCAGTGAGTTTTATTTAATGGCTGATCTGCAAGCTGTGGCAAACAACAGGCACTTACAAAACAGGGCTGAAAAACATGAAATCATGTAGAAACAGAAAGGTTTTCTCACAAAACTGTATCATTGCCCCATAAAATATTACTGATGATTTTAAACCAAATTAATTCTGAGTCATGAAACAAAACACTCAGCTTTCAGGAATTCACTTGGAATAGAGCCATGAAATCATTTTAGGAAAAAAGATCAGGCTTAACTAATAATAAATAAATAAATAAATGAGACATTGCAGGGAAAAAAAATGTGTAGTTCAGAGGTAAGACTTTTTTTAATATACTTAGGATTGTGAATTTAGGGCAGTTTAAAATTTAAAAAGGATTTCATTTTAAAATAGCAAAATAAGTTAGTGGCAAGTTTAGCTTTGATATTTAACTTGCATTTGATCTAGAAACATCTGCTTGCAGAAGCATGTTGATGATAAATCAAACATGTGATGAAACTATGCTAGTAAAAGTCTAGTGTTGACCCAAGTTTAATTTATGGAAGATGTTTTAATTAGTCTTGGTTACAGAGATGAAAGCTTTAATTGTCAACAGTGTGTTTGAGACACATGAACCCTTGTTTAGAGTATGGTACCAAACACTTGACAGACATATAACTGGTTTTGTGTCATTTCCAAAAGAAACAAAGTTGTACAATTGTTCTAACAGTCTCCTCTAATTACCACATGGACCACTTTTAGTCCAATTTAACACAGGCAGAAGGGCTTCCTACAATTATATACTTATTGTCTTCAAAAATCAGCATCTAGTTTCAAATGAGAGATGTGCATTTGCCATCATGAGAAGAGAGGTGCTAGAGCAGGAACTCAACAGTTACCATCTCTGTTTGGTCTCCTGTGAACCAACTACCATATGGAAACCAGCAATGAACAAGCATTTCCAGGGCCAGAAAACCTCTTGCCTCAGAGGTGGCTTAGGAGAGATGAAACTGAACAGGGACAGAAGGGAGGGCATGAGAGGCTTTTAAGAAAACCAAGAGTTATAAGACAAAAGCTGTAAGGAAAAGACAGTGGGAGAGGGGGATCCAGGTCACAGCAAAACAGATTCAGCGGATTTTGCCCTTCATGGAGCAGTTTGCTCTTTTTAGCTACTGTGAGGTTTGCATGGAAGGAGTAACTTCAAAAAAAAATCAAATACATAGTCATTCAATCAAACAAATGAAATACTAATTGTAAAAGAGGAATAGACAAGAACAAGGTTTTTTGACTTCTTTTGCTTCCAGCAAAACGGTGTTCAGCGTATTAAGCTCATGTTTAAAGAAATGCCCATTACATGTTTTCTGTCACAATGTAGGTTTTCTACCCCTTGCTCCAGACTTTAAAAATATTGCACTTTGCCATCTCACATACCACTAGCACCCCACGCATTCCCTTGCATGTCATCAATTCAGACTGCCAGCCTCCAAGCCCTTCTCCTTCATCCCTTCTTTTCTATCCTGGTGTAGTACTGATGAGACGCAGGAGACCCAACTTCATCAAATTAAAAATACTTTCCCTTTGTCATAACGGCTGTAGGCATTAGTGCTTTGGCCAGGGCTAACTGGAATCATGTTACTGAGAACAGAACCTCCTTTGTGAAAAAACGCCCCGCTTCCCCACCCCTTCTGCATATAGTCTATGAATATTTGTGCGTGTCAGGGGACATCGTTTAAGTAGCCGTGCTGGTTACCAAAGGGTTTCAGATTAATTCATTCCTGATGTTCACTGTGTTGTTAAATTTAACAGACTGTTACTAATCCGGTTAATGCCAGTTTGCATCCAGCATGTATGCAAAGAGGCCATCTACGAGTGGGGCTTTTTGAGACTCTTAACAGAATAAAAACTAGTGTCACATTCCAACTCCTCCTTATCCTTCCTCTGGCTCTTTTTTTTCTCTATAAATAACATTCATTAAAAGGGAAAAAAAATCTCTCTTTTCACTATTAGCTAGTGAAAAGCATATGCAATTTAAGTCTTTTTAATACCTTTTAATGTGTTCAATGGATTTACATTTCAAAACTTTTAAGTTTCATACTTAGAGCAGTAAAAACTTTAATTCAAGGTATATTCTCAATGTGATGACAATACTGTGAGTAGCGCTCCCATTCCGTCCCCACACTGCAGATGCAGAGCAAATAAGGAACATGAGGTAAAAAAAGAGCTTTAGCTATTATAAAGAGAAGTTTCATATGCGTGTGTCTTGATTAGCAAGCAGTTAAGTAGTTCCACCATAAGAAATCTCGTTTGTTTGTCCTCAAACTCAGCACAGACTGAACAGCCCAACACCTCTGCAGAAACCTAAGCGAACATTACAACAAAGCCAGCTGGTTTCTGTGCCCCCCGTTTCCTGCCTCTTTGTGGTGTTTTTAATCCCCTGCGTAAACCTTAGTTCTTGGTTTTGATTGCCAAGATTTTTATAGTCCTGTCCTGTTTGGCTTTTCTTTCCTTTATTTTTTTTCCCTCCTCATCTCTCCCTCCAGTGTATTTTAGTGGTTTTCAGCCAGTGGAGTGCTCAAGGTGGCCTGTGAGTCTAAGCGGTCTGGAAGAGGTGACTAAGAAAAGCCACATTAACAAAAGCCACACGTGCATAGTTCCCAGCAGATCTGCACCTCCAGCTGAACACCCGGGACCACGAGCGCACAGCAGCGAACAGCCTCGCTCTGCTCCCCTGCAACGCGGGCAAAAGCTAACAGGGAAAGGGCCCCAGGAGACGCAATGGGCCTTTTCAGCAATGAAACCCACATGTTTGGCCAAGCAACCAAAGCCGGCTCCTTCACAGCGCTGGAGCCTAGTGGTAAGGGAGTTACCCAGGCTGGTACCGGGGAAAGCGAGCACAAAATCCGGATACCCGTCCACCCAACTGCCCCTTCGCCAACACGGAGCCAGGCGGAGGCACGGACGGGCGCA